GCTGCAGCTTAAGCCCACCTCTAGCACACAGAGATCAGAGGGAAACGTCCTCTGGCCGAGCTGCTGCGTCAGGGCTGAGGTCCTGGAGCCACCCATCGCTGGGCCAGGTCTTGGCAGCAGTTCTAACACCGAGACTGGCCGCAGGCGCGGGGTTGACTGCTGGGCTTGAGCATGGGAAACCCATATCGCAAGTCACAGATCTGGAAGGAAAACTGAAGAGGAGGATTTTGGCCATGTGGTGCCCATAAAAATGAATGCAAAATGTTTCAAAAGTATATGAAATCTGCAGATAGCAGGTTTTATGTTTCAAAAGTGTTGAATACTGAAAAAAACCCTCAACAGGAGTTTCAATAAACATGGGCAAGTGAGTCAGCAAAAAGATATAAAATCATCAGGAAAGGCCGAGTTTGTTTTAATATGGGGATTACTGTAAACACTAGGAGTGCATGGTAACAATTTGTAGTCCATGTGTTTTGAAATATCATAACTGGTGTCGATAAACACATTAAAATTCAACTTCAAAGAGCTTTGTGGACGTTTGGAGTGTCACGAAGACATTGCAAAATGGGGATTTTTAGATGGAAACAAGTATGGGAGCAATCAAACACAGCTCCTATGTGAAGAAAGGGATCTTGTCAAGCTGTTAGAGCTAAGCATCTGTGATGGTGATTATTGCTTCTTACTGGCTAAGAACTGCTCTCAGCCCCTGATTTCTTTCACACTGTCTCCCTTGCCTTCCGCCCTGACCTGCTTGTTTGTCTCATGCACCTGTTAGGTCTCACTTCCCAGACCGAATTCTTTTGAGTAGGGCTGGCCCTTTGCTGTTTGTTTCTACAGTCCCTGCGAGAGCTCAACAGATTTCCAGGCATTATCACGACCTAAATAATAAATTCATTTTGTATCTGTACCAGAATGACTTGTGGCACAGAGTAAGTGGTGTCCTCGTGTGCTGACAGACTGACTCTGTAAAGGCGTCTATCATTGCCACGGCATTTGATGTGCTCGATTCTTCCGTGCGCTGTGAACCGCCGGTCCAGGTTTTTAGGGCATGGAGAAGGCTGAGCAGTCTCCATTCTGTCTTCCCCACATACGGTTTCAATGGTGGTATTCTGAACAGAAGATTTTTGTCCTTCCTCATTCAAACTTCCTCTGGGTTGAAATACCTTCTTTTCCTCACTTTTTCTCCTGTAATATTTATTTCTGATGCATTTGGATTCACTCCATAAATGCACTCCTATTTGTTGCACAAGTCATATGCATGCTCTGGGGAGATGGTTCTATAGCTGTGATCTTTCAGCTGTAAAAGCACAGATGTCTAACACTTAAGCTGTAGCACTTTAATAAATCCTTTGGTTTGTTTCTGGGATATCCCAGAAAGTGCTAAATTACTACTACTGTACATAAAAAGGCAGTATACTTCCGTTTACATGAGACGCTGCCTTGAGACTCATGTCCACCACATGCCAGCCTCTTGTTTTTTCTTATTTTCACCTTTTTGATGTATTTAATGCATTGCTTCGCAGCAAGCAAAAGTTCCAGCTTAAAATCCACTTGGAAAGCTGCCTTGGTCGTCCTGTTGACAGATCCACTGTCACAGAGCTCTCTCTTAGCCAACAGCCCGACTTCTGTCCTCCCCATCCAGACAAGGTAATGAGGAAACTGTAAGCCGAGAAGATAATCAGCATTTTTTGGGGGGTAAACAAAGATGGAGGAGGCGTGCCCAAAAAAGGTGGTGGCTATATCTTGGCTAAGGAAGTTATTTTATGGAGAAATGAATGCCAATTCATCAAGTCCCTGTGAAGTTTTTGAAGGATAAGGCAGCTCTTCCTTGGAGCTGTATGTCTGAGATTTCCTGATAATTGTGTTAGCCAGCAAAATTAGTTGCCTGTAGGAAACTGAGAAAGACTCAGGAGTGGAATGAGTTTAGGGAATGAACAAATTCCTTGCAGTTGTCCCCTTTTTCTGTGAAACAGAAAAAAATCATGATTCCATGGATTTCATTAAGGGATTCTCTGATGAAGCATTACTATTTCTGGGGTTTCACCTGTATTTGGTGTACTATAATCACCTCACCTGTATTTGGTGTACTATAATCACCTCACCTGTATTTGGTGTACTATAATCACATCGCCTCAGCCGCTGCCCTGTACTGTGCCTGCTCAGAATGAGCTTACATCCAGAAAACAGTCATCTGAGGATGGCAAGACCCACACAAATGCAAAGGAAACACGGGTAAGATATTGAAATAATCCGGTATAGAAAGGCAGGGAGAGAAGCATCTCTCCCTCAGTCTCTGGTCTTACTTGTCTCTCGTTTTGGTAACGCTTTCTAGATGTGGAAAGACATCTATTCCTCCTGCTACAGGTGTTACACATGACCCAGGCCCTCGGCGTTTATGCAGGCATAGAGACTGAGAGCTGATCCTTTTCCTTCTGGTTTTACCCCAGGTAAAGTCAGACCTTCCAAAGCTCATCACCCTTTTCTAGGTGCTTTCCAGCCTGGCCTGATTCACGCAGAATCTGCCCCGAGGGACATCTGTGTCTCCAGAATTCTCTGGACAGAGGATGGCTGTGGAGAAAGGACAAGCCCTGGTTTGCCTGGGGGGAACACTCTGCGCAGGCGACACGGTCAGTAAAGCAAAAAGACGTGGGTAAGCCGGTAGGTGAAAATGCGTGCTCAGCACTGACATAAAGCAAGCGAGACTGGCCTATAAACAACACGTTTAACTATCTATGGATTTATACAATCCAATGCCTGTGGGACAGAGGTCATTTATGGTTGGTACATTGTGGGAATTGCGTTATTACTGCGTTTCCAATGTGCCTCTCAGCTTCGAGTTCATATTCCACCCCATTAAGAGGTGACAAACAGCGGATACCATCTAGTCAAGACGTTAGCGGCTCCTGTGGAATGGATTTGCTCGTCTCAGTTCAGTTCCTTATGTGTCTCTCCACAGCTGGCAGCCCCTGGCAATTGTCAAAGGCCAAAGACCGACTGGCTTTCAGAAAATGAGCTATCTTTCCATTCCTGAGTGAGGACTGGTCATAACAGCATAAACTATACCGCCAGGTGAGCACGAGAAATTTTTGATGTCTCATATTGTCTCTTCTATGAGTCCAATTTGCAGTACTTCAGCTAAACACAGTCATTTCCCTTGTTACAAACCCTATAGTAACAAAATTAATTCACACGTGCCCTTTTTAAGGTGATTTATGACAGAACCAATATGAGGGAACAGATGAGCATTCCTGCATCTAGATTCAACTGCCATTTAATAATAATGCCAGTCAATATTCCCTTGTTTTAATACTCAACATCATGTTCAAAACGGAGTGCTTCGCTGTAAGCTGCATGCAGACCGTGCTGGATTAAATGGGGCTTCTAGCGTGATGCATATAACAACCTCTTAAATGATTAGGACACCTGTTGACATTAATATAGAAGCATGCATGAAAACAAGCGTGCCACACACTGAAATATATGTACACAAATATTAAGAGGATTAGAGAAATTGCTAAAATGGATAGGGTGGCATTTAACACAAACATGTCTGGAATCTAAGCAGAATGGAAATAACATACACAGAGCTGATCCCTTGTTAGATGGCTTTTTTTTTTTTTTTAATAGCTCATATGGGGTATAAATGTCTCTGTACAAGGAGGTCATTTGCTTACGCTTAAAATTTCTGTTTAATATATATCTTTGTTTGTAATCTGCCTCTGATTCATAACCGCCTTCATTTAGTACCTGGCACCTTTGCCATGCGAGCTGCAGGAAAAAGTAATTAAATTTAATAGAAGCCACCCTTGCTTTGAAGCTGCCCTGGATTTAGAGCCACAAGGAGAAGCAATTAAACTCTGGCAGCCAAGGATTCAAACTGAAGTTATATAGTGATTCTTTTTTTTTTTTTAAAGGAAATTTTCTCTGTAAATGGATTTGGATTGTCAGATCTCATTGGATTCAAAGCTATAGAAAATTTTCTTCTTTGGGAAATCTTCTCTTGAAGCAAAATTAAAAACAAAACCAAAACCAAAAAAGTTAGATGGGAAATGGGGATCAGTTGTGAAGATCTAGGATATTTTTCATCCTTTTGAACAAACTTCTAAAAAAGAGTTTGTTCTCAGCAAAGTGCTGAATGGAAAAGGGAAGCATGGAAGGAGGACATCTGCACGCCTGTTTATTTGCAGGCAGTTCAGCTTGTCAGCAGCCTAGGATATAGATTCATTATGGGAATGAATTTCTTTGCACTAGAAGGCATCATAAGCATTGTTTAAAGCTGTCAGGGTTTTTTAAACCAGTAAGAGGCAGAGACTATTATTTTACTTTTGCAATTATACCAAAAAATAGTCTTTAAATTAAGAAACAAGGACAGGAAAAAATATTCCAGAATGCCATAATCAGTGCCAAACATAGTTCTAACTATTCAAAAATATTTTTCAGTTTCCTGTAAAGGATCAGAAAGGATTCAGCTGGAAAAGGTCTGCTTCCAGTGCAGACGTTATTCAGAAAAACAAACTGGTAATTCAGTTAATATTTCCAGGGAGACAAAATTGTCCTAATCCTCACCAACTCTTGGAAATATTTGTAGAGTCTTAGCTAAGCCAGAGGCACACGTGAAAAATTTAATTATTGTCATGCACGTATTTTGCAATACATGCTTTTCTATTCTGAGGAAAAAAATGCTCTCGTCTCATTACAGGGATATGTATATTCATGGGCCCTGACCTGTGGATCAGACTCGGTGAATTGATAGTCCTCTGGCTGGAGTCATGGTAAAGCTACTCTGGCCATATCCAGGGAAGTGTCTGGGATCAGGTAACTTGCTGGGAAAATGTATTATTGTATCACTGGCCATTGTGAGGTAGCTGGGGGCAGACATGCTGGAAACAGCAAGCTCTACATCCCCAAAAAGTCTTGCCTAGCCATGGTGACCAGCTTGTAAAAGGGAAGGGGCAAGAGTGCCAGGGAGCCACTCTGGGGAGCCGTCAGCTCTGCGAAGAATGTTTGACCCCGGCGTTTTGGATGTGCCGGCTGTAATCTTTGACAATGGGTCCGGGTTATTCAAAGCAGGTATCGCAGGTGACAGCAGCCCAAGGTCTGTCTTTACAGCAATTGTTGGTCGCTCAAAAGTCAAAGCTACGATGCTGGGAGCGGGACAGAAAGAATGTTACATTGGCGAAGAAGCTCAGTCCAAAAGAGGGATCCTGTCTTTGAATTATCCAATTGACCATGGCATAGTTACCTGCTGGGATGATATGGAAAGGATCTGGAGACACGTCTATGACTATGAGCTGAGAATCAAAGCCAGCGAAAGGCCGGTGCTGCTGACTGAAGCCCCCCTCAACCCTCTGCAGAACCGGGAAAAAATGACAGAGATCATGTTCGAAGGCTTCATGGTGCCAGCTATGTACGTTGCAGTCCAGGCAACTCTGGCACTCTACGCGTCGGCCCGTATTACTGGAATAGTCATGGACAGCGGGGATGGTGTTACCCACACTGTCCCCATATATGAAGGATACTGTTTATCCCATGCTGTCTCCAGGCTGGATATTGCTGGCCGGGATATCACCGAATATTTTATGAAGCTTCTTTTGGAGAGTGGACACACTTTTGTTAGCACAGCTGAAAGGGAAATTGTGAGAGATATCAAAGAGAAGTTGTGCTACGTAGCCTTAGACCCCGTCCAAGAAATGAAAGCAAGGCCAGAAGAAATCATGAAAGAATACAGATTGCCTGACAGCAATATCATCCAGATAGGCAACCAGCTCTTTCGTGCACCAGAGACCCTTTTCGTGCCTGCAAACATTGGAGTTGAAGCTCCCGGCGTGCACAAAATGATCTTCAACAGCATCATGAAGTGCGACATCGACGTGCGCAGGAATCTTTACGGCAACATCCTGCTCTCGGGTGGGTCTACGCTCTTTCCTGGCCTGGAGGAACGGATCCTGAAGGAGATGAAGCTGCAAGTGCCCGCTGGCATGTTTGTGAGGATCATCGCACCCCCTGAGAGAAAATACTGCGTGTGGATTGGGGCCTCCATCCTCACCTGCCTGACGTCTTTCAAACAAATGTGGGTCACCATGAGCGATTACAAGGATTTTGGGGCAGCTGTCATTCACCGAAAATGCTTTTGAGGAGAACGTCAGACCAAGAGAATGGCTTGCTACAGCAACGCCGGAGCGTGAAATGCTCCTGAGAGCTGACTGACCTACAAGGGGCTGCAGCTGGCTGTGCGTTTATTAGCTGACAAAACCTGCATGAAAATAAAACATTAAAAACATTGGTAACGAGGATCTTATTGTTTAACATCTCCCTTCCCCTCCGCAGAGTTTACAGGTGCGCGCATGTCCCAGGGATGCCGTAACTCCTTAACTGACTCACAGCCTGCCTTGGAGTCATCTGGGGATCAGCGCACCTCCACTCCTGGGAGATTCTTCCCTCTCAGGTCTTTGAGATATCTGGGGTTTGTATTCTAAACCTAGCTCTCATGTTATTTTTGATCTCATTAAAAATGTTTCCTTTAGAAACCCAGCAAAACCCCAAACAGAATCCAAATATAAATCAATGCAAATGCAATTACTGTAACCGACCCTCCTCTGTGCCTGAGGGTCTGAAAAAATCCATCGATTCTCTGCTGTAATTTATCCAGGAAGCAAGAACACCCAGTTTTGCTTCCAAATACTAGCCCTGAATCAAAATGCTCCGCACCGCCGGCTCCCTGGAGGAAGCAGCGTTGCCGGTGCAGCTGCGGAGGATTGTGAGCTCGGCGGAGAGGTGCCTATTTGGGACTGGGGGATCTAGAACGTTTCGGAGATGCTCTGTGCCAGCAGCCGCTGCCAGGGACGGCACCCATCCTGCCCAGGATGTCCGACTTGGCGGCAGCAGGGACCCGCGCGGTGATTTTTGACATCGGCTCTGGACAGTGCAAGGCTGGTCTGTCAGGGGAACAGGCGCCCCGTTCGGTTATATCTACTGTTGTGGGATACCCCAAATTCAAACTTGTCATGTTTGGGGTGAGACATAAAGACTGCTATATCGGGGAGGAAGCCCAGTCTAAAAGGGGCATTTTGTCTTTCACTTACCCGATGGAAAATGGGGTAGTTACGTCCTGGGACGACATGGAGAAGATTTGGAGATATCTGTACGAACAAGAACTCAAAATGAAACCGAGTGAGAGGCCAGCCCTGCTGACCGAGACCGCTCTCAATCCTTTGTGGCATCGAGAAAAAATGGCTGAGACGATGTTCGAAAGCTTCCAGGTGCCTGCCCTTTTCGTGACTCTGCAGGCGCTAACAGCCCTGTACGCCTCTGCCCGCACAACCGGACTGGTCCTGGACAGTGGCGATGGTGTCACCGTCACGGTCCCCGTCTACAAAGGCTGTTACCTGCTACACGGCATTACCAGACGGGATTTTGCAGGCAAAGGTGTAACCAAATACCTTGCTAGGCTCCTCTCGGAGGCAGGGCAGTCCTTCGTAAGCACGGCAGAGAGAGAAATTGTCAGGGATATGAAGGAGAAGCTGTGCTATGTTGCTTTAGATCCTAGCCAAAATATGCAGGAAAAGCCTGAAAAACTTACGTGCGAGTACATTCTCCCTGACGGAAGGCCTGTCAAGGTAGGAGACCAGCTATTCCGAGCTCCTGAAACGCTTTTTGTGCCCGCAGAGGCAGAAATCCCAGGGCCAGGGGTTGGGAGGATGGTCCTCCAGAGCGTCGCCAAGTGTCGTGAGCATATCCAGCCCGACATGCTAAGGAACGTGCTGCTATCGGGCGGATCGACTCTTTTCCGAGGTTTCAAGGAGAGGCTTCTGAAGGAGCTCCAGACAGGAATTCCCAGCACAACTCCTGTCAAGATCATCTCACCACAAGATCGGATGCACTCTGTGTGGATCGGTGCTTCCATCCTTGCCAGCCTAAGAACGTTTAGGAATATGTGGGTTACCAGGGAAGACTATGACGAGGTTGGACCAACAGTACTCCAGAGAAAATGCTTTTGAAAATTTCAGTAGGACCATCCAGGAATTTTTTTTCAGTGCCAATCTGAACAGCTGGAGAGCAGTTAATAAATCAGTACAAAAATAATTGATTTATAGTAAGTGATTTTATAGCTTGCTAAAGAAAGGTCCCTTGTGCATTGGGTTGAAGAAAGAGTCCTTGTTCAGAGGTTTTTTGCTATCCAAGATGTTGGTTTTAATTCTAGAAATGTGTTGATCCCTGCTAGAACTGCAAACAGTTTGTCAGACTTTTAAACACTTGAGAACAAGCCACCTCCATCCCATGCCCGTGGGGGCTGGCTCCTTGCCATTCACCGTAAACTTCCAAAGAGTGGAAAGAGACCTCTGATGCAGAAATAGAGGGCTCAAGGGTATTGCTGACCCTTCAGCACAGCACTGGAGATCTCCTTGTAGCAGCCCTGGAGGAGCTCAGAGGGGTCCAAACTTCTAAATTTGTTTTTGCTCACCAAACGAAAATGTGTTGATCCGGCTGTTAAAGCAGAGCTCTCGGACCTGGAATATCTCTGTGCTATTAGCGGCCTTGCCATGTGATTTGCTGTGTCACATCACGTAAACCATTGCCTCCGTTTGTCCATCAGTGGGGTTTCACTAATATTCTAGCATAAGGACTAATGCAAAAGTACATTTACGTAACCTAATATAATGTTAATTAAAATTAGTAAATTAATCAGAGGGTGCAAGGTGAAAGGTATCTAGTTTGGGTTTATTCTTAGCGGACTCCTGAACGAATGTTTTGATGTCAGGCATCTAAGAGAAGGTGGAGGCATTGGTTCCTAGCTGACACCGATTCTCTTTTGGGAAAAGCCGAATATGTTAGGAGAAATTGTTATTCTTCTACTGCATCACCGAGAGCTAGGGAAAGCGACAAAAAAACCCTGCAACTATTTGCTTGAACTACTAACCAAATCTGCCTTGCCAAGCTCAATTTTTGTTAATAATTCCACCAAATAATCTTAACTAGCGTAAACGTCATGGCTAGCTGATTGGATTTCCAAAGCAAGCTATGAAATTTGTAACAAAAGTGTGAATTTTCAGCAGTGAAATTTGCATCCATATAAACAACTTGAAAATGATGCGTTTACAGAGATCATCTTTACCCACATCTGCAAATATACGCCCTGCATCCAGTCAGGCAATAGAAATCTCATCATAATTTGTGAAACTGATTAGCAGCATGATTTATATATTGTTCAAAAATTATTTGAAAAAAAAACCTGCTCGGGATATACCTGAGAACTTCCTGAATTTGTTCAGGACTAACGTGAAAATAGGAAGAGAGCTGAAATCTGTCTTGTTAATTATTCAGTACAGTGTCTGGCTGTTTTCATTCAGCTCCGGAGATGAATCTTCAAACTCATTGATGCCCTCTGCTGCCTTGGGACTGATTAGTCATCTATCGCCTCCTCTCGCTGCCCTTTGAAGAATCACAACACGCTTTTCCTTTTCTACAAGACATTTACAAGTGCTCCGAAGAGAGGCACATCTCGCCCTGCGTTCAGTTGTGCACCGAGCCCTGGAGCCCTTCCCCAGCGGGGCGAGGGGGCAAATAAAACGGGCTGAAAGACCCAGCGGCGAAGGATGCCGGCAGGGGAGCGGGGGACGATTTGTGGATGACTCCAGCAGTAAATGCAGCGAGGCTCACCTAACTTCATTTTCCCCAATGATCAGAGCGAAAGCATAATGCAAAGAGTCTGGAGAAAAACACATAGCTTTCCTGCTCCACTTGGGCCCTAAGGCTTCAGAAGGTTGAGATATATATTACTCCATCAAGTTAATGCAAGTATTCAGAGCGCTCTTAGAGCTGTTATGAAATCAGAATCAGCAGTCTTGGATCTTTCTTCTATTACAGTATGTTACCTTCTAGCAGCCCACTGGAAATGTGTAAACAAATGAGGTACAACTGTAGACAGTTTAAATATTTTACAGCTCACTGACTTCCATATGAGGAGGGATTTGCAGTAACTTAAGTGTTTAGGCTCCTGCCCCAATAATCTAATGCAAATAAAAATGCAAAAAAACAGTGTGCTGGAAAGCAGAGGGAACCTGAGCGAACAGTGCAACTCAAGGTTGTTGTCAGGAAGGAGAAAAGAAAAGCAAAGAGGGTGATAACTCTGCAAACCCAGATGCAGACACAAAACGTGTTTGGAGAGTGACACCTAGCAGAGCTCTGTGTGTGCTTTTAATGAGATCTCACCCTTGCACAAGATATTGCCTGATGTAATCCAGGATGGATTCATCGACACCAAACTTGTTTTACATCGAGGGACCTGGTTCAGCTCCTCCCAGCTGAAAATCATTCAACAAACCATTATTACAGGTATGCAACACCCACAGTACTGGTTTGGCCTGGCTGTTTCCATTTACCTCTTAGACATGACTTTGCTCAAGGGCACGCAACAAGATAGCAGAAGTTGGCACATGTTCCATGACTCCAGACTTCATATCAGCCTCTTCAGTCTCTTGGTCACCTTGTGTTTCCATCACTGCACAGGGCACTGGAAATTCATTGCTTCGTTTATATTTCACTTTTGCTTTGAAGAGGTCTGAGGTCTTAATCTTTTGGGACCTTATTCCCTTGGCCCTCATGCCATAAAAAATGAGTTGCAGTAATCTTTCCTCTACCTGTTCCCTGGATACACAGAGGATTTATATTGTAAATAGCCGGGATCTTTCTAGCCTCAGGAAAGCAACACTAGTCTGGTGAATATAGGACTGCTTGGAGGGATTAGAGAGGCCTGAGTTAATTTCTAGGCTTGCTGCTGATAAATTGTGGAAAGAAAAGTTTAATCTTGGGCACATCAGGCATTGGTTCCCACTTTTAAACACCCTGCTTTTGTTCCATCCTTTACTTGTCCTGCAAGCTATTTGGGGTAAGAGCTGTCTCTTGCTTTAAGAGCACGTATCAGTGCAAAGATCTGGGACTTTGGGGCCACAAGATCAGAAACACAAAATCATTTGTGAAGTTTGCACTGGAATTGCATAAAAATCTCAGTCTGCTCCAGTGTCATGGTTTAACCCCAGCCGGCAACTAGGCCCCCCCCAGCCACTCGCTCTTCCCCTCCCCGGTGGGATGGGGGAGAGAATCGGAAGAGTAAAAGTGAGAAAACTTGTGGGTTGAGATAAAGGCAGTTTAATAGGTAAAGCAAAAGCCACGCATGCAAGCAAGCAAAGCAAAACAAGGACTCCATTCCCCGCTTCCCACGGGCAGGCAGGTGTTCAGCCATCTCCAGGACAGCAGGGCTCCATCACATGTAATGGTGACTTGCGAAGACTAATGCCATCGCTCCGAATGTCCCTCCTTCCTTCTTTTTCCCCCAGCTTTATATGCTGAGCATGACGTTGTATGGTCTGGAATATCCCTTGGGTCAGTTGGGGTCAGCTGTCCCGGCTGTGTCCCCTCCAAACTCCTCGTGCCCCCCCAGCCTGCTCGCTGGTGGGCTGGGGTGAGGAGCAGAAAAGCTCTTGACTCTCTGCAAGCATACTAGCTACTATGAAGAAAATTAACTCTATCCCAGCCAAAACCAGCACATCGTGGTAATTTTTTCCCTCCCTCCCCAAGTCTCATTTAAGTTTCAATCTAGCAGCAGCTCTTTATTTTCTTTCACATGTCAAACAATTCATCATTTTGCACCTCCCCTGTGAATTTAAAGGTTTTATTGGTATGCAATAATGTCAGCCTGGGACAATGCACACTGATTACCCAAACCAATGTGATTCTTTTCACCCTGCCCATTTTTGGTTGCGAGCTCTCGAGAACTGTACAAGAGCTCTTGCTTTCTCCCTCTCCTCCCTGTTATCATAAGCACAATAAAAAGGCTGGGTTCAAATATACGCTAGACAAATAATTATTATCTTTCTTATTGAAAACTCCTGTCCCCTGCCCTCGCCTGTGCTGAGCTGTGCGAGCACACTGCTGTAAAAGTGCCCTCGCTTCTGCCTTGGCAGGTCTCGAGGATGAGGGTGGTGGGCAGCTTGTTCTGAAAGCAGCTGGATAGAGAATGCCAAGTACATCTCATCAGAAGGGGCACAGAGGAGGGTAGGGAAATGACCCCCTTCATTAGGGCACAGTATGGCGAGGCTTGACCTTACAGAAGTTTGGAAACGCCGCGCTCGCAGGCTTACCACGCGAGGGCTGGTAGCCAGGCTTAGCAAGCAAGGTCAGATCCAAGCTGTCTGGGTAAATTAGGTGTTTCTTCACCATCCGCGGTCAGAATGAAGGGATGCCAGCAGGCCAGCGTGCGCAGCCTACCACCGACAAAACCACGGCAATCGTCAAAGACGCTCGGCGACGTGGCCGTACGGAGCAGTAGCCATCTCAAAGACCAGCGGAGACCCGGAGTGGCCAGGAATGCTGAAGAAGGAGCGGTGAGGCTAAAGGATCTGCAGGAGGCAGGCTTTGCAGGGGGGAAACAAGCTCTGTGGACGCTTAGAAGCGGCCAGAAAAGGGTAACAGCGTTACCAAAGGCAGAGAAATACCAGTCCTGCAGTTGAGCGTGGGCAGCTCCATCCATTCATTTACCGAGCAACTGGCAGGCCCACCTCCATTTCTCCAACTTTGGAAACATCCCGGTGAGTACCTGAATGTGAGGGGTTTGACGTGATAGAGGTAAGAACATTCCAGAGTTCTTCCCAGCGGAGATGTCGCTACACGGAGTAAGATGTAGCTCTGGGTGAGAGAGGCTCTGCAGTCATTATACACGTACCCACACGAACACGTGCCCCCGCATGTACACACACACGTGCACACGCGCACACACACACTGATTTTGTTAAGCCATTCCATGCAAGTATTTTATATATGTATATATTTTTTTTTATTTGGAAAACTTCAGAGTGCTTTTTTTCACACACAGTAAAGTTAGCTTTGCTGAGATTCATTAGTCCCCTTTCCCCCTGTGTGTAAATGGATCTCTCTCAGTTATGCAATGCAAGGGTATACAACCATGAAAAGTGCAGAGGCAGCCAAAAAAAGCATTGTTCTG